CCCTCCACACTCTCTGTTCCTTTTTGTGTTTCCCCCAAATAGCAGACAATATTGCTTAATATTTTATTTATTCACTTGTTTGTGTGTTTCAGAAAACAGCTTTCTATTTCAGTCAGGCTCCCACTCATGATCTTCCCGCTTGAGCCTCCTGAGTGCTGGGATAGTCGGTATGCTTCACCATGTCCTCTTTACTCTTGTTTTTGTGACTATCCCTGTGTCCTCTAGTAAGAGGTGACCTCCCTAGGAGCAGAGACCTCATCTATTTTCTTCCCCAAAGTCTCCTCCATGCATAGACGCAACCCCAGATCCTAAGGCTGTACCCTTCCAAGGGTAGTGCTATCCTAAGGATAAAGGAGGACAATTTGGAAGTATATAATCAAAATTAAAGATCTAGCCCGGCGTTGGTGGTGCGCGCCTTTAATCCCAGCACTCAGGAGGCAGAGCCAGGCGGATCTCTGTGAGTTCGAGGCCAGCCTGGGCTACCAAGTGAGCTCCAGGAAAGGTGCAAAGCTACACAGAGAAACCCTGACTCGAAAAACCAAAAAAAAAAAAAAAAAAAAAAATTAAAGATCTACCATTTAGTGAGTGGCTGTATGTACAGCAAGCAGTGAAAAAAAAGTTTGTGCACTTTTTTTGAAACAGGGTCTCATGTAGCTGAAGATGACCTGACCCTCCTGCCCTCCCCTTTCTAAGTTGTGGTCTTACAGGCTTGTACCAACACATGCAGGTTTATTTGGAGCTGAGGATCAATTCCAAGGTCTCTTGTAAACGAGGCAAGCAAACAAGGAACACTGAAGAGCGAGGCTTCTGTGACCAGATGAAGGAGAGGAAACAACCTGGCAATGAGACGGAGAAAGGGGGAGGGAGACACCCCTTTCTCTGTCTCACAGACACCATGGCAAGGACTTTGCCTTGTGAGCTGAGGGGGAGCGGAACCATGGAAGGCATTTGGGCAGAGGAAGGATTTTAGATAGGATCTAGTGACCGTGTGAGAAACAGACAGTAAGACATTGTATTAGGGTTCTCAGGGCAGTAGAGCTTATAGAATGAATCTCTCTTTCTATTTTATATAGAAAAGGGGTTTATTAGAATGACTTACAGGGTATGGTCCAGCTAATCCAACAATGGCTGGCTGTGAACACAATAGTCCAAGAATCCAGAAGTTGCTCAGTCCACAAGACTGGATGTCTCAGCTGGTCTTCAGTAGACAATGGGATCCCGAAGAAGTAGGCTCTAATGCCAGTGAAGGAATGGACTTGCTAGCAAGGAGAGAGCAAGCAGACAAGGAGCAAAAGCTTCCTTCTTCCATGTCCTTATTTTGGCTTCCAGGAGAAGGTGTGGCCCAAATTAAACGTGTGTGTCTTCCTGCCTCAGAATCTGGATTAAAGGTGTGAGTCCTCCCTCTTCAAGATCCAGATCAAGGCTGGGCAGTGGTGGAGCACACCTTTAATCCCAGCATTCTGGAGGCAAAGGCAGGCCGGCTGGTCTCTGAGTTGAAGCCAGACTGGTCTATAGAGCAAATTCCAGGACAGACAGGGATATACAGAAAAATCCTGTCTAGAAAATAGATAGATAGATAGATAGATAGATAGATAGATAGATAGATAGATAGATAGATCTAGATAAAAGGCATGTGTCTTCCTGCCTTGAAGGTAGACCAGAAGCAGATCCACCCACTTCAAACCAATTAAAAAAAAAAAATCTCACAGGTGTGCCCTCCATTCTAGACTGTAGTTCATTCCAGATGTAGTCAAGTTGACAACCAAAAACGGCTATCCCAGAAACCAAGATGAGAATAAAGAAGACCAGGGTAGTGACCCCAGAACAGTGAGGAGTGGTGTCAGCTGGGCCAGTGAAATAGGAGAGGACGTGGTGGAGATTCGGGCCCGAGTGACTGGCATTGTGACCACTGCAACGAAAAAGATGGGGAAATCATTCTGTTTGGTGCCTATGTGTTGGGTATCCCTGATCCAAAATGCTTGGGACCAGAAGTATTTCAGATCTCTTTCAGATTTTGGAATGTTAACATAGACTTATAAAATGAGATACCTTAGAGATATGACCCAGGCCTAAATACAGAACACCACTTCATATGTCTCTACTCACAGACCCTTGTCTTAGTTACTTTTCCTTTGGCTGTGATGAGATGATAGGACCAAGGCAACTTATAAAAGAAAGCATTTAATCAGGGGCTTGCTTACAGTTCCAGAAGATGAGTCCATGACCATCGTGGCAGGGAGCATGGCAACAGGTGGGCAGGCAAGGACTGGAGCAGAAGCTGAGAACTCACATCTCATCTGAAAGATGGAACCAGAGAGAGAGATAGCGGGGGGGGGGGGGGGGGGGGGGGGAGCTACCTGGGAATCGTGTGGGCTTTTGAAACCTCAAATACCACCCCCAGTAACACACCTCCTCCAACAAAGCCCCACCTCCTAATTCTTCCCGAGCAATTTCACCACCTGTGGACCAAGCATTCAAACAGACCAGCCTATGCAGGCCATTCACATGCAAACCACCACAAGCTTGAAGGTAACTTTTACACCACAGTTTGAGGGGACTGTGAGTTTTGTTGTTGTTTGGTTGGTTTGCTTTGGGATTAGATTTGGGGTTTGTTTTGTTTTGGAAGGTTTATTTTAGATGTATGAGTGTTTGCCTGCATATTTATATATGCACCATGTGCATGCAAGTGCCCAAGGACGCCAGAGGAGGGGCATTGTATCTCCTGATACTGGAGTTACAGATGCTTGTGAGCCACCATGTCGGTGCTGGGAATTGAACACAGGTCCTCAGGAAGAATAGTCAGTGACTGGGGTGCCGTCTCCCTAGTCTCAGGTTTTGGTTTTTGAGACAGAGTCTCCTATAGCACAGGATGGTTCAAACTCACTATGTAGTTGAGGATGGCCTTGAATTTCTGATCCTTCTGCATCTACTTCTTTTTTTTTGTTTTTTGTTTTTTGTTTTTCGAGACAGGATTTCTCTGTGTAGTTTTAGTGCCTTTCCTGGATCTCGCTCTGTAGACCAGGCTGGCCTTGAACTCACAAAGATCCGCCTGCCTCTGCCTCCCGAGTGCTGGGATTAAAGGCGTGCGCCACCACCACCGCCCGGCTCTGCATCTACTTCTTGAGTACTCTGAAAGTAAGCATGAGTCCACACACACACATTTTGACTACAACCTGTCATAAGAGGTCTGTTGTGGGATTTCCCATTTGTTCTTCTAGTCGGCTTTCAAAAAGTTTTGGGGGACTTAGGATGCTGCTCAGCAGAGCATTTGCCTACTACTGCACAAGGCTCTGGGTTCCATCCCTAGCAATGCACAAACTAGATGTGACGGTTTGATTAAGAATGATCCCTATAAACTCATATATTTGTATGAAACTGGGAAGGATTCAGAGGTGTGGCTTTGTTGGAGGAGGTATGTCACTGGGGGTGGGATTTGAGCTTTCAAAAGCCCACAGCAAGCCTAGTCTCTCTCTCTCTCTCTCTCTCTCTCTCTCTCTCTCTCTCTCTCTCTCTCTCTCTGCCTCTATCCCTCTCTCCTTCACCCCCCACCCCGCCTGTGGATCAGGATGTAAAGCACTCAGCTACTACGGCAGCACCATGCCTGTCTGCTTTCTGCCTTGGTTATGGACTAGCCCTTCATGGCAAGCCCACAATTAAATGCTTTCTTTTATAGGAGTTTCCTTGGTCATGGTGTCTCTTCACAGCCATAGAACAAGTGGGGCAGTGGTGGCGCACAGCTTTTGTTCCAGCGCTTGGGAGGCAGAGGCAGACCTGGTCTACAGAGTGAGTTCCAGGACAGCCGAGGCTACTCAGAGAAACCCACCAAAGGAAAAAAAAAAAAAGACACAGGACATAATGGCTCACTCCTATAATCTCAACACTTGGGAGGTGGACAACATTAGAAACTCAGTGTTGTCCTCATCTACATACCAAGTTTTTTTTTAAAAGATTTATTTATGTATACAGTGTTCTGTCTGCATATACACCTGCAAGCCAGAAGAGGGCACCAGATCTCATTATGGATGGTTGTGAGCCACCATGTGGGTGCTGGAAATTGAACTCAGGACCTCTGGAAGAACAGCCAGTGCTCTTAACCTCTGAGCCATCTCTCCAGCCCCTACATACCAAGTTTTAGGCCAGCCGGGCCTACATAAGACCTTGCCTCAGGAAAAAAAAAAATGGATTTTAAAGCATCTCGGATTTTGTATTTCCATGAAGTACTGTATTTGTGACTTTCCACTGCTGTGATAAAACACCATGACCAAAAGCAACTTATGGAAGAGGGAGTTTATTTTGGCGTCAGTTTCAAACAAAGGGTGGGGGAGGCATGGCAGCAGGCAGCCAGAGCAGGAAGCTGAGGTCACATCTTCAATGGCAAATAGAGCTAACTGGAAGCGGAGCAAGGCCATAGGCCCTCCCTCCAAGCTGCTGCCAGTGGTGCAGTGATGCACTTCCTCCAGCAAGGCTCCACCTCCTAAAAGTTCCACGGATTACCCAAACAGCATTGCCAACTGGGGATCAGGTGTTCAAGTAAGTGGGCCTATGAGGGACACATCTTTCAAATTACCAGACCAGATAGGGACGGGTGTTGAGTGAGAATTTGGACATTAGTATCAAACATTTGGAGAACAGGGGAGCCCCATAGATGACCGCTATTGCAGAGAACCCTAGTTCGGTTCCCAGCATCCACATCAGCAGTTCACAACCACCTGTAATTCCAGCTCCAGGGGATTAATGCCCTCTTCTGGCCTCCAAGGGTACTGCACTGCACACACACACACACACACACACACACACACACACACACACACACACACACAATGTAAAAAAAAAAATCAGAAAACAACTCACCTAGGAACCAAATAGACATAATTATCAAAAGAAGACAGAATAAACTAAGTTTTTTTTAAGTCTTTCAAAGAAGAACTACATTTTTTTTTTTCATTTTTATTTTATTTTTTGAGATAGGATTTCTCTGTGTAGCCCTGGCTGGCCTGGAACTCACTCTGTAGACCAAGCTTCCCTTAAACTCACAGAGATCCACCTGCCTCTGCCTCCCCAGTGCTGGGATTAAAGGTGTGCACCACCACCACCCAGCAAACTACATTTTTGTTTAAAGAAAAAATGAAGGAAATAAATGGCAAATCTGTAGTCAATTAGGAAGCCACCACTGACCACCAGAACCATTTTATGACAAGCAGTTCTTGGAAAAATCACTGAGATGTGACTCACTGGAAATCACTATTTTTATGTTAAGAAATTAGTATAAGCCAGATGTGGTGGTGTGGGCATGTGACCCCTGTTGTGGAATATTATTTTAAGGTGTGTTACTTTTGTTTATGTTGCATTTGTTTAACTCTGTGAAGCTGTGTTACTGTGCCTGTCTAACACACCTGATGGTCTAATAAAGAGCTAAGAGGCTAACAGCGAGGCAGGAGAAAGGATAGGCGGGGCTGGCAGGCAGAGAGAATGAACAGAAAGAAGAAAGAGCAAGAGAACAGGCGAGGAGGATGCCAGGGGGACAGCCACAAAGTAGGAGTAAAAGTAAGATTACAGAAGTAAGAAAAGGAAAAAGCCCACAGGCCAAAGGTAGATGGGATCATTTTAAGTTAAGAAAAGCTGACAATAAACAAGCCAAGCTAAGGCCAGGCATTTACAATTAAGAATAAGCCTCTGTGTACGATTTATTTGGGAGATGGGTGGCAGGCCCCCCAAAAGAGCAAAAACAACTAACAACAGATGTGATTCACTAAAAACTTAAGGAAATCACTATTTTTGTTTGTTTGGTTTTGGTTTTGTTTTTGGAGACAGGGTTTCTCTGTGTAGCTTTGGTGCCTATCCTGGAGCTTGCTCTGTAGCCCAGGCTGGCCTCAAACTTACAGAAATCCACCTGGCTCTGCCTCCCGAGTGCTGGGATTAAAGGCGTGCACCACCACCACCCAGCCAGAAATCACTATTTTTATTTCCAGAAATTAGCACAAGCCAGATGTGGCAGTGTGGGCATGTGACCCCTGTACTTACTTGAGAAGTTGGAGAAGGAGGTCTGCTAGGAGTCTGCAGGCCAGCCTGGGCTATAGAGAGAAAGCAACACTGTCTCAGAAAACAAACAGATTTTCAAAACCATACAAATAGGGGCTACAAGATGGTTCTGTGCGTAAAATATTTACCACACAAACAGGAGGACCTCGCCTGGCCTTGGTGGCACATGGGGAAAAAGGGACCTGGTGTGTGTAGTCAGTTTCAGGAACATCCTGAGACTTGTGAGTTGTTTACTCCCTGACTCTTAAGGATTACCTCTTGTTTCAGTTTGGAGACATGATTACATAACAGTCTGAGCAAGAGAAAGTTTACAATAAACAACATTTACAATAAACAACAACCAGTTTATTTAACTTTAAATAAATCTTTACTATCAAGAGATTTTATGTATAATTGCACAGAAATACTTTTAGAAACTGTGAAATTTGAAAAAAATGAAATATCTCCTTCATTTTTTTAAAGATTTATTTATTTATTATGTATACAGTATTCTGCCTGCATGTGTCCCTGCAGGCCAGAAGAGGGCACCAGATCTCATTACAGATGGTTGTGAGCCACCATGTGGGTGCTGGGAATTGAACCCAGGACCTCTGGAAGAGCAGTCGGTGCTCTTAACCTCTGAACCATCTCTCCAGCCCCTCTCCTTCATTTTTTTTAAGGCCAAAGAATTTAAACGGAAACTTTCAAAATGTGTCTTAGTTTTAAAAAAAATGAAAAAGTCCTTCTGAAAAGGCTCCCTGGTCCCAGTAAACTAACCAGAAATTCTTTGAACTTTTTAGATAGGTTCATACATTGTTCAAGGAGGTTTGGGGGTGGAGACATCTAGGACATTGGCCTAGAATCCCCCAGTGAGGGGAAGCATGCTGGAAGCATGACGGAGTACTGGGTCGTCAGCTTGGGATCCCTGGTGAGGAACTGAGGATGTGGCTCAGTTGGTAGACTTGCCTAGCATGCATAAAGCCCTGGGCTTCGTCCTCAGCACCACATAAATCAGGTGTGGTGATGCAGGACTGTAATCCCAGCACTCAGGAGATGTTGAAGATCATCCTTAGCTACATATCAAGTTCAAAGCCAGCCTGGGCTATATGAGACCCTCTCTCAAAAAAAAAAATTACTAAATAAAGATAACCAAAGCCAAACCAAGCCCTAAGGCTTTGTAAAAGAAAGTTGGTGGACACGGTACGTGTTAAAATCCTGCAAAATTTGGGTAAGTGTCGGGGATCTGCTCAATGTACAATATATACCTATATGATATTTTTTTAAATAAAATTGTTTAAAGATCCTCAAAAACTAACTAACAGAAAAAGGCATCAGCAATATCAAGGAGCCCACATACTAGTTGGAAAAATTAGAGTTTAGACAGTACTTTCTAAGCCAGGGGACAGGAGAAGAGATAAGACTGAGCCAGTCACAAGATTAGACATGGAGGTCAAGCAGTGATGGCACACTTCTTTAATCCTATCACTCGGGAGGCAGATATCCTCTGGATCTCTGTGAGTTCAAGGCCACACTGGGCTACATGAGATTGATCCAGTCTAGGAGAGAAACAGAGCCAGGCAGCGGTGACACACACCTTCAGTCCCAGCACTTGAGATCTCATGCCTTTGCTTGGGAAGCACACATGCCTTTAATCCCAGGAAGTAATATGGCAGGGCAGAGAAAGGTATATAAGGCGTGAAGATACAGGAACACACTCTCTTTAGGCTGAGGATTTTGTAGAGGTAAGAACTAGTGGCTGCCTGTTCTGCTTCTCTGATCCTCAGGCAAGTATATTAGGGTACACAATATATCATCACATTGTGATTCCAGGCCAGCATAGTCTACAGAGCTAGTTCCAGGACAGCCATGGCTACACAGAGAAACCCCATCTTGAAAAAGTGTTTATTAATAGAAGAGTAGGAGGAGGGGCCAGCCTGCCACGGAAGGAACAGCATGCCAGCAGACCAGTAACACCACGGACATGTGGCAATACATAAATTAATAGAAATGGGTTAATTTAAGATGAAGGAGCTAGCTAGCAAGAATTCTTAGCCATAGGCCATACAGTTTGTAATTAATATTAAGCCTCTGAGTGATTATTTTATAAGGGGCTGCAGGACTGCGGGTGAGAGAGATTTGTTCCTACTTCGGGCCAGGTGGGGCACAGAAAATCTTTTAGCTACAGGCTGGGGCTGGTAAGATGACTCAGTTGGTAAAGGTGCCTGCAGCCAAGCCTGGCGACCTGTTTGATCCTCAGGACCAACATCACACGCACACTCCACCCCTGCCCCTTCCTGACACAGACAGTAAATAATTACACATAATACAAAAAATTTAAAAGATGGAGTAAGTCTGTCTCTCACCTTTGGAGAATTTATAGTTGATCTGGGCATTTGTGTTAAAGAGATTTTAAGAAAGGAGGAGCCCCTGTGAGTTCGAGGCCAGCCTGGGCTACCAAGTGAGTTCCAGGAAAGGCGCAAAGCTACACAGAGAAACCCTGTCTCGAAAAACCAAAAAAAAAAAAGAAAGGAGGAGCCCTTGTTTGTCCCTGGGAGGGATGCAAGTCATGGAGGGCTTCTTGGAGGAGGCACCCTCAGGGGCACTTGCACTGTCTGTTTGGAATAGTTCCACAGATTTAAGCATGGATCCTCTCTCCATTATTCAGATTTGAGCTCAGTCATTACCTTTTTCTCAAGGTGCTAGCCTGTCTGACCTAGGCTGCCCCACAGTGTGTGTGTGTGTGTGTGTGTGTGTGTGTGTGTGTGTGTGTGTGTGTGTGTGGTGTGTGTAGGCCTAAGGTCAAGGTTCGATATCTTCATCTAGTGCTCTCCACCTGGAACTCACTATGTAGATCAGGATAGCCTAAAAATCTGAGATCCTCCTGCCTCTGCCTCCCAAACGCTGTCATTAAAGGGATCACCACCAGGCCTGCTCCACTCTGTTTCTTGAGACAGGGTCTCTCCCTGGAGCTTGTTGATTGGGCTAGGCAGGCTGGCTAGAGGACCCCCAGGACCCACCAATTCCCTCAGTGCCGGGGTTATAGGCACGCTGCCATACCCAGCTCTTGTGTAGGGGCTGAGGCTCCAACCCGGGTCCTCTTGTTTGTACAGCAGGCCATTTGAGCCTTCTCCCTAGCACCTTCTTTAGTTCTATGGAACATCTCACCCTTGACGTATTCCATATTCCTTCAACTGCTTCCTAACTGTCTTCCGCGCGGCGAAGTGCTCATTCTTCCTTGGGGCAGGAATTGGTTCCAGCCGTGGCCACACCCAGCGCCTGTCTATCAGGCTTATTTGCACAAGCGAGTGCACAATGAATGTTTGTTGAATGAAGAACAAAAGCAGTCCCTGAGCTCCTGGATCGAGCTATGCCTGAAGCTGCACGGTTGTGCAATGGCCTAGGAAATACAAAGCCCTCTTGCCTACACCGCCATCTCAGACGTCACCTCGTGGCTGGTGGACACCTTGCTCACATTTTCCTCATCCTGTGGATCCCTCAGGGCCCAGCGACAGGCAGCCTGGAGTGACCGGCAGAGCTGTTTCCTTCCAAAGTACAAAAACATTATAGGATTGACAGAGCTGTGAGCGAGGGCCAGGCCTGTAACCAGAGGCTCAGCCTCCAGGACCCGGGCAAGGAAAGAGGAGGAAGGCTCAGCCACTGCGATTATGACCCTCAGGATGTGGTAAGGGGTCCAGCAGATGAAAAACCCCCACCACGACAGCTGTGCCCAGTGGCCAGTGACGTCGGGTCAGTTGCCGTTGGAGGATGCTGTGGCCACTGGCCATAAACACCAATGGCCCCAGAAAGCCAAAGAGAAGTCGAACGGCGGTGATGGTGGCCTCTGCAGCCACCGATCGCCCATAGTCGATGCCACACACAAGCCGAGAAGGGAAGTGCTCCCGAAGCAGCCTATGGTAAACTGCTGAGGGTACCGTCAGCAGCAGGGCCAACATCCAGGAAGAGACCTGGGCCGCCCGCACCCCGAGCGTCCGGTGATCAGACGCCTTCCAGGAGGGCCTGAAAGCCAGTAGGAAGAGGTCAGCGCTGAGGGCGGTCAGGAGCAGCACGCTTGCATACATAGACAGGACCGTAACCGAGGGTAGCAGCCAGCAGCCTGCTGCCCCATACGGCCAGTGACCTTTTTGGGCAATGGGCACAGCCAGGAAGGGCAGAGACACACAGCAAAGCAAGTCAGCTACGGCCAGGTGCAGGAACCAAGAGGTCCCAAGCCTGTGGCGGGACTCTTTCCAGGTCACCCAAGCCACCATGGTGTTGCCTGGCACACCCACCAGGAAGATGGCTGCATACAGCAGAAGCAGGGTTATGAGGTAGAAATCACTAGAGAAGCAACTCCCATCTGGGCAGTCTACGGGGACATCCGGAAGATCCTGGTAAAGTTCGTAATCATACTCATAATTATCCTCGGAGCTGGTGGTATGATTCATCATCCTGGCCGCAGACACCTGCAGGGGACAGAAAGAAGGACAAAACCGTTGGAAAACTTCAAGAGCCTTGCTGTTCTGGGGCAGGGCTGACTCAGAGGCTCCGGGGCAGAGCTGACCCAGAGGCTCCGGGACAGGGCTAGCCCAGCGGCTCCGGGATAGGGCTGACCCAGCGGTTCCGGGATAGGGCTAGCCCAGCGGCTCCGGGACAGGGCTAGCCCATACTAGAGAGGGCAATGCTGTGGTGTTAGGGTGCCTACACTCCAGGGTACCAGTATTCTGTGATGGTTATTGTCAACTGGTAACTTGACAGATTCTGGAAGCATCTGGGAGATGGGGGGTCTATCTTTGTTGTGCTAACTGATGTGAGAACGTCCATGTTAATTGTGGGAGGGACCTGACTCCAGAAAGTTATGCTCTGACCTCCACATGTGTGCCAAGCGACATACACACTTACACACATACATACATATATATATATAATATATATATATAATATATATATATATAAAATAAAAATAAAGATTTTTAAATGAAATTAAAAAAATAAGTGGGAAAAGCATTCTGGACAGTGGCATACGTTCATTACTAGTTTCTTTTTTCTTTTGTTTCGTTTTTCAAGACAGGGTTTCTCTGTGTAACAGCCCTGGCTGTCCTCAAACTTGCTCTGTAGACCAGGCTGGCCTCAAACTCACAGAGATCCACCTGCCTCTGCCTCCCAAGTGCTGGGATTTAAAAAAAAAAAAAAGTATGCCACCACATCCAGCTGTTGAATATTTTATCACAGGAAAAGAAACAATTAAAAAAGAAAGAATTATCTCATTAGCACGTGGAATTCCAGAATATAAGAACAGCAAACTGAATTCCAGAAATGCTAAGACTTGTGTACATCTTGAAATTCTAGTACATAACCCTTTACATACCACAAAGTACTGGGATTGAAGCCAGGGCCTCACAGGTGCCAGGCATGTGCTCTACCACTGAGCCACACCCAGCCCCTCACTGGGGGATTCTAGGCAGGTGCTCTACCACTGAGTCACACCCCCAGCTCCTCACTGGGGGATTCTAGGCAGGGACTCTACCACTGAGTCACACCCCAGCCCCTCACTGGGGGATTCTAGGCAGGTGCTCTACCACTGAGTCACACCCCCAGCTCCTCACTGGGGGATTCTAGGCAGGAACTCTACCACTGAGTCACACCCCCAGCCCCTCACTGAGGGATTCTAGGCCTGTGCTCTACCACTGAGCCACACCCCAGCCCCTCACTGGGGGATTCTAGGCAGGGGCTCTACCACTGAACCACACCCCCAGCACCTCACTGGGGGATTCTAGGCCTGTGCTCTACCACTGAGCCACACCCCCAGCCCCTCACTGGGGGATTCTAGGCAGGGCTCTACCACTGAGCCACACCCCCAGCCCCCCACTGGGGCATTCTAGTCAGGTGCTCTAAAACTGAGCTGCATTCCGTCCTTGTATCTTGGAATTCTAGGATGTCACTGTCTTAGAACTCCAGCCTGTCAGAATATTGGATTGCTGGAACCCTAAACAATCCCTTAAAATGCTAGAATCCTAGCTCATGCCTATCCTGGAAGGCTAAGGTGCAGTTTTAGAACCCCATGGCAGATTAGAACATATAGATCCTGAATGCTAATGCATTAGAACACCCAAGCTCTTGGAGTTCCAAAAATTAAAATTCCAGCAATGTAGCTGCAAGTTTCTCTATCCTGCCCAGCCCTGAGGTCTGGACAAATCTCTCCCACCCTAACTCTTGAAGCTGCTTACAAAATAATCACTCATAGGCTTAATACTAGTTACAAACTGTATGGCCTATGGCTTTAGCTTCTTGCTAGTTAGCTGTTTCATCTTAAATTAACCCATTCCTATTAATCTACATGTTGCCACGTGGCCGTGGCATTACCGGTCTGCTGGCATCTTGTTGCTCCTTTGGTGGAGTCTCTCCTGACTCCGCCCTTCTTCAGCTCATCTTCAGTTTGAATGTACTGCCTAGCTTTATCCTGCCCTGCCATAGGCCAATGCAGCTCTATTTATTATCCAATGGGAGCCACACATATTCACAGCATACAGAAAGACATCCCAAGAATAAGGCATGGTAGCATGCTCAGTGAATAAATGCAGGAGTCAATTCTTACAAATAAAATAAAATCCACTTGGAGCAATTGTTTCAATAGTATTAACATTGGGAACGCAGGAAGAACAGAACATTGTATTCCCTATGGTTTATTTATTCACAAACACAGCTCCCAGATACTTTTTGTTCTTTGGAAAAGGTTTTCATGTAGCTCAGGCTAGTTTCACACCTGCTGGGTAGCCAAGAATGACTATGAACTCCTGATCCCTCTGCTTCTACTTCCCAAGTGCTTGGATTTTAAGGCTGAACACCACACCCAGCTCTCGAGCATTTTTATTGTTGTTCTGGGTCTAAATCCAAGGACTAAGGCACAGTCCAAAATCTGTTTCCTTACAGCTGATATTCCAAGGGGCAAAACCAAGGAGTGAGGATACAGACAAGAGCTTTGCAGTATTTTCCAACACGTACTAGTTGAATGAGGAAGAAGTATCAAGGCCAGCCTTGGCTGTATAGTTAGAGGCCAGCCTGGGCTTCATGAGACCCTGCCTCAAAAAAATTGCTGTAGAAAGAGAACAATCCCAGAGAAGGAGGCTGCGGTGCAATTGCACATAGATGGTAAAGGAACGTAGTAGCATTTGAGCAGAAACTAAAAGAATTGAGGGAGATGAGGAGGAGGCTCTAGAATGAGATCAAGTATGATGGGTGTGTTCAAGGAATAGCAAGGTCATTGTGGCTGGAATGGAGTAGAAGAGAAAGAAAATGGATAAGTGAAAGCAAGCCAGCCATGATGGCATGCTCCTGTAGTCTCAGCACTCAAGCTGTGAGGCAGGAGGATTGCCGTGAGTTCCAAGCCAGCTTGGCTACATAGTGATTACTAGGTCAGTCAGGGTTTACATAGCAAAATGCTATCTCAATGGAGCGTGGTTAGTCCTGCCCTCCTGTAACTGCAGAGCTTGGGGGGGTGGGGGCAGAAAGATCAGGAGTTCAAAGCCATCGTAAGCTATACACTACACGAGATACTGTGTTAAAGAGGGAGGTGCTGGAGAGACAGATCCATAGTTAAGAGCACTTGTTGCTCTTGTAGAGGACCCAGGTTCTGTGCCAGCAACCCCATGGCAGCTCACAACTGAGCCATCTATCCAGCTCCTACCCTAACCCCCATTTTTTTATTGTGTTTTGTTGTTGTTGTTGTTGTTTGTTTGAGTTTTTTTAAGCTTTATTTATTTGATGTGTATCAGTGTTCTTCTGAATGTGTGTATGTGCACCACATGCATGCTCGGTGTCCATGGAGGTCAAAAGAAGACACTGGATCCCCTGAAACTGGAGTTACAGACAGTTGTGAGCCACCCTGAGGGTTCTAGGAACCAAACCTAGCAGCAAGTTCTCTTAACTACTGCTCCTGCAGGGGGCGCTGGGCAGCTCCCAGTTGTCTGTACTCTAGCTCCAGAGGATCTGACGCCCTCTACTGGATTCTGTGGTACATGTACTCAGGTGCATACACACATACACACACACACACACACACACACACACACACACACACATTAAAAATCATTTTAGGCCGGGCGGTGGTGGCGCACGCCTTTAATCCCAGCACTCGGGAGGCAGAGCCAGGCGGATCTCTGTGAGTTCGAGGCCAGCCTGGGCTACCAAGTGAGTTCCAGGAAAGGCGCAAAGCTACACAGAGAAACTCTGTCTCGAAAAACCAAAAAAAAAAAAAAAAAAAAATCATTTTAAAATTTAAAAACAGTAACAAAATGACCTGATCCAACAAAAATAATAGTTTTAGCGTATCAGAAGCCACCATTCATTAAGCATTTTGTGTGTGTTCCAGGCATGGCTCCAAACACCTTTCAACATTGTATCACCTAAGCATCCCATCAACCCTCCAGTTTTGATACGGTCTTGTTAAACTGACAGTTGACCGGAGGCACAGAGAGGATGAGAAATTTACTTTAAAATCAGTCAGCTGAGTAGGAGACAGAACTGAATTACAAAATGTTCCTAGGCCCAAGTCCCAAAATACTACCACCCCTCGATATGAGAATCTGGGAAGGTAGATGGCCTCACACACTTTGTGGCCCTGAACCAACTCTGTGACTTTGGATGGCAATCACGACCGGTTCCGTCCATATCCTCCTCTGGGACCCAGTTAATGCATAAGAAACACATCCATGGGGAAAGAGCATTGACTAACGTTCCAGAGGACCCAGGTTCAGTTCCCAGGCCGTCCGGTGTCTGATCACACCAGGACTAAAAAGAGGAAAAGAAACACATTCATGTCACAGACGCGCTGGGGAGAGCAGGACCTAGGTGGGAGGGGACACTCAACCCCATGTCAGAGTGGCTGGAACCTGCCGCTCTCATCTGACTATTATGGGTTGTCTGGCACTGCCCAGAGCCACAGCCAACAGTGTCAAAACAGGAAGGACGTGGCGGAAGTTGGGACACTCTCAGCTCTGCCAGGTAGCCAGCTATGGGGCCAAGCCATTTTTCTGGGTATTTTTCCATCCTTAAGAGTAAACTGGACCTGGTTTTTAAAAACTCACCTGTCATCCCGGCACTCCGAGGTTGAGGCAGGAGGAATGCCATGATTTTAAGGCCAACCTGTGCTGTGCCATAAGGTCAGAACCCATCTCAAAAAAAAAAAAAAAAAAAAAAAAAGCAAAACAAGCAATAAAAAAAATAACAAAAGAATGAAAAGTAAAAGCTTCAACAGCTGTGTGTCCTTCAGCAAGTATCCTAAACCTCTCTGTGCTTCAGTCTGTAAAAGGGAATAATCAAGTAACCCACCTTAAAGAGTGCTGGGAATATTCGATGTATTCAACAGATCTGCTATGGAGAAAATGACTGCCACAGTGCTGGTTCACAGCAAGCAAGGGGTGTGCGCCTGTGTGTGTGTGTGTGTGTGTGTGTGTGTGTGTGTGTGTGTGTGTGCCTGTGTGTGTGTGTGTCTGTATGTGTGTCTGTGTGTGTGTGCCTGTGTGTGTGTGTCTGTATGTGTATGTGTCTGTGTGTGTGTCTGTGTCTGTGTGTATGTCTGTGTGTCTGTGTGTCTGTGTGTGTCTGTATGTCTGTGTGTGTGTGTCTGTGTGTGTGTGTCTGTGTGTGTGTGTCTGTGTGTGTGTGTCTGTGTGTGTCTGTGTGTGTGTCTGTGTGTCTGTGTCTGTGTGTCTGTGTGTGTGTCTGTATGTGTGTCTGTGTGTGTGTCTGTGTGTGTGTCTGTGTGTATGTCTGTGTGTGTATGTATGTCTGTGTGTGTGTCTGTGTGTGTGTCTGTGTGTGTGTCTGTGTGTGTCTGTATGTGTGTATTTCTGTCTGTGTGTGTGTGTCTGTGTCTGTGTGTGTGTGTCTGTGTGTCTGTGTGTCTGTGTCTGTGTGTGTCTGTGTGTGTATCTGTGTGTCTGTGTGTGTGTGTATCTGTGTGTCTGTGTGTGTGTCTGTGTGTGTGTGTATCTGTGTGTATCTGTGTGTCTGTGTGTGTGTCTGTGTGTGTGTATCTCTGTGTGTGTCTGTGTGTGTGTATCTGTGTGTGTCTGTGTGTGTATCTGTGTGTGTGTGTCTGTGTATGTGTCTGTGTGTGTGTGTGTATCTGTATCTGTGTGTGTCTCTGTCTGTCTGTGTGTGTGTGTGTGTATCTCTGTGTGTGTGTGTATGTATCTCTGTGTGTGTTTGTGTGTGTGTGTGCGTGTGTGTGTGTGTGTGTGTGTGTGTATCAGCCGCTGTCTTCAAGTGTACACACAGCCTCTCCTCCCTTCTCCGCCCCCACCCTGTGCAACTATTACTGATAACAATCCAGGACAGTTTCCATACTCAAGACGTTCAGCCTGCGGTATTTTGTCTGTAAACAGAGACAGGAATGATTCCGGCATTCACTCTCTCTGTCTCTGTCTGTCTGTCTGTCTCTCTCTCTCTCTCCCATTCCCACTTAACTCAGTGCTCTCCCACTGAGCCAACTTCTCAGCCCTTCCATTTTCTTGAGACAGAGTGTCTCATTGAACCTCAAGTTTGCCAAATGGATTAAGAAGAGCCAGGAAGCACAAGAGATCTTCCTATCTGCCCTCTGGTGCTAGGATTACAAGTGGACACTTCTGGACCCAGTGCCATTGTTGTCGTTTTGTTTTGTTTTGTGACAAGGTTTCTCTGTGTAGCCCTGGCTGTCCTGGGTCTCACTCTGTAGACCAGGCTGGCCTCGAACTCACAGAGATCCGCCTGCCTCTGTCTGCTGAGTTCTGGGATTAAAGGCGTGTGCCACCACCACCCAGCCTCATTGTTGTCTTTTACAATAAATCAGTTATATTTATTTGATTCTATACACTATATACCAACCAGTATTGCCACTGTTTCTACATACGTATTTGTGTGTGTGTGTATGTGTGTGTGTGTGTGTGTGTGTGTGTGTGTGTGTGCTCTTACATGCACACTTGCTTGCACAGTGTGCTTGCATGGGAAAGTTCACAGTGGAGGTCAGAGGACACTTTATGGGAGTCAGTATTCTCCTTCCACTAAGTGAGGTCTCAGGATCAAATACCAACTGTCAGGCTTGGCGGCAAGTGCGTTTACCTACTGGTCATCTTGCCCCCAAATTACTACTTTGTGGTTTTTTTTTTTTTTTTTTGAGACATGGCCTTTCTGTCTATCACTGCTGGCCTGGGATTTACTATGTAGACTGACTGGCCTCAAACTCACAGAGATCTGGATTCCCTAGAACTGGAGAAGCAGGTGGTTCTGAGTCACCTGACATGATTGATGGGTGCTGGGAACAGAACTTAGGTCCTCTGAAAGAACACTACATGCTCTTAACAACTGAGCCATTTCCTCAACTCCAAGTTGAAACTTTCAATTATAAACTGGGCATACTGGCTCACACCTTTAACCTCAGTCCTCTGGAAGCAGAGGCAGGTGGATCTCTATGAATGTGAGACCAGCTTGGTCTACATAGTGAGTTCTAGGACAGCAAAAGCTACATAGAGAAACTCTGTCTCAATAGTAATAGTAATAATAATAATAATAATAATATACAAGCTGATGAGAAAAGAGGTTGGTAGGGATGGATATATATAAAATGTCATAATGAAACATGTTGTTTCATATGCAAAAATGCAACAAAACAGGAAAACCTGGGCATGGGACACATTCCTGAAATCTCAACACTTAGGAGACTGAGGCAGGAGGATTGCCATGAGTGTGAGGCCAGTCTGGTCTACATACCAAGTTCCAGGCTAGCTTAGGCTATGCCATGAGACCCTGTCTCTGAAAACCAGAAAACAGGGCTGAGGACGTGACTCAGTTGGAAGAGTGTTTACCAGCACCACATAAACTGGACACAGTGACACATTCCTGTAGCCACAGCATTTGAGCTTGAGGCCAAGTGGGCTACAGGAGTTCCTGTCTCAGGAGAGAGAGAGAGAGAGAGAGAGAGAGAGAGAGAGAGAGAGAGAGAGAGAGAGAGGGAGAGGGAGAGGGAGAGGGAGAGGGAGAGGGAGAGGGAGAGGGAGAGGGAGAGGGAGAGGGAGAGGGAGAGGGAGAGGGAGAGGGAGAGGGAGAGGGAGAGGGAGGGAGAGGGAGGGAGAGCGCACTGATGTCCACTGTGTCTGTATGATGTTTCAGAAATGACTGTCCTGACCCTCCAAGAAATGGAAATTATAATTATCCCAATTTCCCAGAACTTGGGCTCCACCCCGTGTGGGCTCCAGTGTGTTCCTGATATCTAGAACAGTCCTTGGCGTTCATGTGGTATTTGGTGAGTGAAAGAATTAGGAAACTGAAGTCTAAAGGAGGCTAAGAAGCCGCTTGGGGTCTGAGAGTGCTGCCTCGATGGATAAAGTGCTCATCCTGCAAGCCTGATGACCTGCGTTTGATTCCTGGAACACGCACGCGCGCGCACACACACACACACACACACACACACACACACACACACACAGCAGAAGGACACAACTGAGTTCTGTATGTTGTCCTCTGGCTTCTGTATGCAGGCTGTGGTACAGACACCCATGTGCACATGCAATAAATAAATAAATTATAAATAAATGCAATTTAGAAAGAAAGGCACTCCCTTGAGCTACTACACAAGCAAACTTTTTTTTTTTCTGAGACAAGGTTTCTCTGTGTAGTTTTAGTGCCTGTCCTGGATCTCACTCTGTAGACCAGGCTGGCCTCGAACTCACAGAGATTCACCTGCCTCTGCCTCCTGAGTGCTGGGATTAAAGGTGGGCACCACCACCACCTGGCTACACACAAACAAACTATTAATAAAATAATTTAAAGACAATATCTGAGAATCATAAAATACTTTTAAAGAAAAAATAATGCAAAAATGTGGGGAGAGAGCCTCTGTGTTAGAAATAAGAATTGGACTGGCATATTCTTATGCTGGGAAACGGACTCAGATAATACTCTTCTGGAATGTGCTCCGTTTACGAGAAGCCCCAGAGTTGCCTAGTTACGACCTGCACACACCTCTGTGCACATTCGTAAGTTCCCTTTTGGCCTAAAGTGACCCTTGCTGTCCAAGGAAGCAGGAACATGGATTGTGAGGGCTTGCTCGCCGGACACATTGACTTTTGGAGGACTGGGCCCCAACCTGGAAATCCCCGAAGGTCATGGTGTCCCGTGCTGCAGAGTGTGACTGAACACTTACCTGCTTTATTGGGCATTTTCTACTGGGCTGACCTAGCTGGTACCACGTATCTGGGGCTCTGACTTGTTTTCCCGAGCCCTGATGATAATTTCTATCTGGAGGGCCAAGGGTGTGGCCCCCTCAGCTGGTAGAGTGCATCCTGGCACGCACGAAGTCCTGTGTTCTATCCCAAGCACTGCATAAACTGTGTATGATGGCTCATGCCTGCAATCCCAGTACTCTGGAGATGTAGGCAGGACAGTCAGGTGTTCAAGACCATCCTCAGCCACAGATCAAGTCTGAGGACAGCCTAGCCAACATGAGATCTTGTCTCAGAAAAAAAAAAAAATATATATATATATATATATATATATTACACACACACATATATATTTTCAAGATATCTAAGTGAATCCTTCTAGGAAGTTAAAATCATGAAGCCCTCCACTCCTCTCTCCCTCCTGCCTCCCCCCTTACCTTCTCTTCCAACTGGTCCCAAATTGGTCAAATGCCTCTTGCAAGCACACAGTCAGGCCACAGCAGCTTCTGGGAGGCCCGGGGTCTCTCCACCAGGGACAGCAGCTGGAGAGTCTCGGCGATCCAACCTGTTTCCCCGGATCCTATGGGATTCTCTGAGGGCCCCGGTGAAACCTTCTTAACCAGGAAAAACAGGCGTGGCCTCCTCCCAGCCTCAGGGGAATATTTGTCTCTTCTTCCTCCCGTGAGTCACACGTTAAGCCACAGACCGGAAAGGTCGGAAAAGCCTGAAGTGTGGAGAGGTGGACAGTGCCTCCACCCTCAGTCTTACCGTCACCAGCTTCCTGGAAGCCAGATCTGTGTGGACTTTGAACCGCAAGGTCTAGAGGGCTATCTTTGAAACCGTCTCCCACCTATCCTCAGCCCCGCAGGGCCCCTAAGTTTCTGCAGTAAATACTAGGTACCAGCTGACCCACTCCTGACCTCCCGTCTGTCGCCACAGACTCTTAAAGATTTTTTCCTTCCTCAAATGTTCTGAGGAAGCTAGCCCAGAGATAAAACCCTATTCAGAAAAATCAAGAAGTCCAGCCCAGGTCCTGAGGCTTCCATGGAACCTAAAATGCTAGTCCTGCCCCTCTCTGGGCCTCCATTTTTTTTTCCACCTGTAAAATGGAAAGACATTAGCAGGGGTGGGAGAGCATGTTGTCATGGCAGACTCTGGAGGCAGAGGCAAGGAAGATCTCAAGCTGGAGACCTGTCTGGTCTACACAGCCAGGCACTGTCACAGAACCCTGGGTAGGCGGGTAGGTGGTAGTGGGTAGGTGGGGACATACTTGTCACACAAGCATGTGGACCTCAGGTTGAATTGCTGGAAGCCACATAAAAGTCAGATGCAGTAGCACGTGCGTGTAATTCCAGCATTCGTAGGTGGAGATAGTCAGGGGAGACAGGAGAATCCCCGGAAACATGTGGGCCAGCTAGCCTGGCCTCTGCCACTGCAAGCAACAAGAGACTGTCTCTAACAGAGTCGAAGCTGAAGGTCTGGGATAAGGCTGTTCACTGACCTTCGCATGCAAACTGTGACTCCCAGGCCTTGTGCATGCGGACTTAAAATGAAAAAAACAAAAAAACCAAAAAACCAGTAACCACAGCAAAAGAAGTCGACCAATAGTGGCTGGTTTTGGTTTTGTCTTGTTTGTTTGAGACAGAGTCTCATGTAGCCCGGGGTGACTCAGACTCACAGAGATTTGCCTGCCTCAGCTTCCCAAGTGCTGGGATTAAAGGCGTCCCCAATTCTAGAGCACACTATCTCAAAATACACACCCACACACATGCTGCAGGCTTAGGATACTAAGCAAGAAGACATGGCCTCACCAGGTGATGGTGGTGCACGCCGTGAGTCCCAGCACTTAGGCAGGTGGATCACTGAGTTCAAGGCCAACCTAGTCTACAGAGTGAGTTCCAGGACAGCCAGGGCTACCCAGAGAAACCCTGTCCTGAAAAAAAAAAAAAGAAAGAAAGAAACAAAGAAACAAACAAAACAGAAGACATGGCCTCAAGCGTGACCTTGGAATGTCTTCACTCAGCAGTTTTTGATGTCATATTTCTCTCTGAGCCATGCTTAAGGCCTTGAGGGGATGTGGTCATGAATTCTTCTACTGGTATTTAGAGTGTTAAGTCATGTTGCTAGAGGAAGCTGCTTCTGGGTCAAGAAGCGGCAGACTCTGTGATCCAGGCCTCTCTCATCCCGAGAGGCCTCTGTGTTCTCTACATCTCAAGTAAAGTTCCATGGGAAATTACCTGGTCAACAAATGTGCCAAGATGATAAAGTCCTGGAGTGTGGCTAGGTGGTAGAGCCCTGTCTAGAGTCCCCCAGTAAGGGGCTGGGGGCGTGGCTCAATGGTAGATCCCTGCCTAGAATCCCCCAGTGAGGGGCTGGGGGTGTGGCTCAGTGGTAGAGCCCCTGCCTAGAATCCCCCAGTGAGGGGCTGGGGGAGTGGCTCAGTGGTAGAGCCCCTGCCTAGAATCCCCCAGTGAGGGGCTGGGGGTGTGGCTCAGTGGTAGAGCCCCTGCCTAGAATCCCCCAGTGAGGGGATGGGGAGTGGCTCAGGGGTAGAGCCCCTGCCTAGAGTCCCCCAGTGAGGGGCTGAGGGTGTGGCTCAGTGGTAGAGCTCCTCCATAATATGTTGAGGTCCTGGATTTTAAGGATATAACTGAAAACACTTGGTTTCATATGTTTTTTTTTCTCCACTAACTCTTCACATTCTTTGTCTCTATCATTGAACCCCAAGCTCCTCACTGCCCGTTATTAACTGAACGATGAATGTTCCACATAAGCTCTTATATTTGACCAGCTGTTTGAGGAGGTTATGGAACTTTTAGAAATTGGAGCCTTGCTGGAGGAAGTAGGTCACTGGGGGTGGGCTTTGGGGGGATTTGTATTCTCACCTCACTTCCTGAATCCTTTCTTTGTGTTCTGTGTGCGGGTGAAAATGTGATCAACCAGCTTCCTGTTCCTCTTGCCTGCCGCCATGGCTTCTCGATTTTATTGACTAACCCTCTAGAACCATAAGCCAAATTAAACTCTTTCTTCCACAAATTGCTTTTGGTCATGGTATTTTATTACAGCTCAGGAAATAACCAATACATTAGAAGATTCTAGGCAGAGGCTCTACCACTGAGCCACACCCCCAGCCCCTCACTGGGGGATTCTAGGCAGGGGCTCTACCACTGAGCCACATCCCCAGTCCCTCACTGGGGGATTCTAGGCAGGGGCTCTACCACTGAGCCACACCCCCAGCCCCTCACTGGGGGATTCTAGGCAGGGGCTCTACCACTGAGCCACTCCCCCAGCCCCTCACTGGGGGATTCTAGGCAGGGGCTCTACCACTAAGCCACACCCTCAGACTCAAGGATATTTTTATGCTGATCACATATCAAATGTTATTTTATATAGGTTAATAAAATACATAAACAGTCACTGGAGCTACAGCTCAGCTGTTGAGTGCTTGCCAGTGGGCATGGTGGCCCACACCTTTGAACCATCTTTCCAGGCCCCTCCTTTTCTTCCACCTCGGTTTTTGAGACAAGAGCTCTCAACGGGATCAGCCTAGGCCAGCTGCAAGCCCTAGAGATCCACCTCCGCTGTGCTGAGGTTACAAGTGCTCACCACTGTGCCTACCTTTCTTTGTACATGGATTCTGGGGCTGGGATTCACATCCTCATGCTTGAAGGGCAAACACTACCCACTGAGCCATCTCCCCGACCCTCACAGTTCATCCCAGAAGACTCTAATACAATCTACTAGCTTCCTGGATGTGAGCAGTCTGAGGGTCCCAGAGGTCACCAGGACAAGGGAAGGCTCTGGCCTCAGGCTTTGGAGCCCTGCATCCGAAGAACAGATGGGTGTGCCAGACCCAAGGGTGCAGAAGGCCGGGGCTGGGGGAGGGGAGAGAAAACACTAGAGTCCACCAAGCTTTCAGCCCACTTCCTTCCCTGGTCACTTCCTCTTCCAAGCCCTGTTGACAAAGCAGATTCCACAGGCCACACCATTTGGCAATCCCAGGGACTCTCTGCCAACTTCTGTTTGGGGCAGAGTTAGTTAACCCCAGCTGCCTGGAGTCACCACCTGGCTCCCCTCTGTGACCATCACCTGATGTATGTCCAGATCTCTCTGTTTTCTTTTTTTTTAACTTTTTTTTTTTTTTTTTTTTTTTTTTTTTTTTTTTTTTTACTGTATGGTGCATGAGTGTCTTGTTTGTATGTATATCTGTGCACCTCATGCATGCCTGTGGAGGCCAGAAAACAGCATCAAATCCCCTGGAACTAGAGTTACAGACAGTTGTGAGCCACCATGTGGATGCTGGGAGCCAAACTTGGGTCCCCCGGAAGAGCAGCCAGTGCTCTTAAACCACTGAGCCACCTCTCCAGCCCCTCTCTTTGTTTTGTTTTTGGAACAGGGTATCTCTGTGCAGCCCAAACTCACAGAGCTCCACCTGGCTCCAAGTGCTGAGATTAAAGTTGTGTATCACCTGCGTGCCTTTACTCCCAGCACTCGGGAGGCAGAGGCAGGCGGATCTCTGTGAGTCCGAGACCAGCCTTGGTCTACAGATCGAGTTCCAGGAATGTCTCCAAAACTACACAGAGAAACCCTGTCTCAAAAACAAAACAAAACAAAACAAAAAAGTTGTGTGTCACCATGCCTGGCTGGGATTTTTTGGGGGGGGGCAGGGGCGGTATTTAAGACAGGCAGTATCTCATGTAGCCCAGGCTAGCCACAAATTCACTGTGTAGCAGAGAAAGACCTCCGACAACTGAGCCTCCAGCCTCCACCTCCTAAGTATTGAGATTACTGGTGTGTGCCATGAAGGGTTGAGTGCGTGTGTGTATGTGTGTGTGTGTGTGTGTGTGTGTGTGTGTGTGTGTGTGTGTGTGTGTGTTTTGCTGTTTTGTGACCAAATCTCACTATGTATCCCTAGCTGACCTGGAACTCACTATGTAGACCAGGTTGGCCTCAAACTCCCAGAAATCTGCCTGCCTCTGTGTCTGGAGTGCTGGAATTGAAAGCATGCGCCACCACACCCTGCCACCATTCAGGGTTTTATTCAATGTTGGCGACTGAACCCCAGGCTTCATGCATGCTAGGCCAGGACCCTACCTACTGCACTACATCCTATCCTGGGCCCAGCTCTCTTTTTTAATATTTCTTTTTGTTTTATATGTTTGGGTGTTTTGCCTGCAAGTATTTGCACCATGGGTGTGCTTGGTGTGCATGGAGGCCATTACAGACCATTGGGAGACACTATGTGATGCTGGGATCTGAACCAGGTCCTCTAAAACAGCAGCTCTCCACCTTCCTAATGCTGCGACGCTTTAATACAGTCTCTTGTTGTGGTGACCCCCCATCATAAAATTATTTTCATTGCTACTTCATAACTGTAATTTTGCTACTATTATGAATCATGATGCAAATATTTTATGGAGGGGGCTGGAAAGAGGGCTCAGTAGTTAAGACCACGGACTGCTCTTCCAGAGGACCCGAGTTCAAGTCCCAGCACCCACATGCCAGCTCATAATTGTCTGTAATTCCAGTTCCAGGGGATCCAGCACCCATGACAAAACACCAATGCACATAAAATAAAAAATAAATTAATTAAAAATATTTGGGGGCCGGGCAGCAGTGGCGCACGCCTTTAATCCCAGCACTCGAGAGGCAGAGCCAGGCAGATCTCTGTGAGTTTCAGGCAAGCCTGGTCTACAGAGCGAGATCCAGGACAGGCTCCAAAACTACACAGAGAAACCCTGTTTCGAAAAACCAAAATATATAATTTTTTGGATATAGAGGTTTGACAGAGGGGCTGTGACTTATTGGTTGAGAACCACTATTCTAAAGGAACAATAAGTACTCTTAACCACTGATCCATCTTTCTAGCCGCCCCCCCCCTCCCCCTCCCACCCAGGACCAACTCTTAAAACAGCATGTCATTCTGGATGTACTACTTACTCTCTGAACCAGGAAGCTCAAAAGCGGTCAGGGACAAAGATTTGGGGTGGGATGCTTGTGGGAAGCAAGGGGGGGGGGTGGTCACAGGGGACTCCCTGAAGGAGGGGACACTTGGCAAGAAGACGGAATGGGAGCAGGGATGGACAGCTAGGAGACGAGGGGAGGGGTGAGGCATGGACGCAAGAGGGAGGAGACAGAGGACCTGGAGCAGCCGGGTGTGTGGTAGGAAGGAGGGTGGGTCCCCACTGGGTAGACTGAGAGGGCCGGCGTGGTTTTTCCGGCGTGGTTTTTCCGGCGTGGTTTTTCCGGCGTGGTTTTTCCTGGAATGGAGAAGCAAGGGGAGGACGATGTTTGCAGAAGACATCTGGGACGTGGGTGAGGAGGTGAGGAGGTCAGGAGTGAGAAAATCACAAGAGAGAGACAACTCGGGGTGGGGTGGGGTGCACACCTGTAATCCCAATATGTGGAGGCAGAAGTATCAGAAGTTCAAGATCAGCCTCAGCTCCATACCCAGCATAAGGCTAGCCTGGATGAGATCCTGTCTCAAAAACAAATCTCAACCCCGGAGACACCATCCAAAAAACAGAAGAAAGTCGGGTGTGGTGGCGCACGCCTTTAATCCCAGCGCTCGGGAGGCAGAGGCAGGTGGATCTCTGTGAGTTCGAGGCCAGCCTGGACTACAGAGTGAGTTCCTCCAGGAAAGCTGGGACAACAGAGAGAAACCCTGTCTCGAAAACAAAACAAAAAGTTCCGGTGAGGTCAGTGTCACCATAAGAAAGTGTCCCTAGGGAAACACAGGTAGGAACCAATAGTCACAGATCCACTTGGAAGAAGGGAGGACCTGGCAGAGCCAGACTCCAGTATCTTACTTCATTTATTGTTTGTTTGGACTCTGTGAGACTTTGTGAGTCTCCTGGGTAACCCAGGCTGGCTTCTAATGCTCAGTTCTTGTTCCTGAGGCTCCCAGGTGCTGGGGTGCGGACTTGAGCCTGTTTTCTCTTATTGAATCTTTTTTTTTCCCTTTTTCAGTGTGCTGACCAGAAAATTCAAAACCATTTACCCGATTGCCTCATACTTCTGGGGTTGTTCCATACGCATTTTCTAGCCAACACATGCACTCACGTGCATGTGTTCTCTAAGCTGAGATTACACATTACAAAAGAGCACATTTGTGGCCCATGATATAACTTAGCAGGGAAAGGTGCTTGCCAGCAAGCCTGATGACCTGAGTTCAATTCCTGGGACCCTCGTGGTTGAAATGAGAACCATTTCCAACAAGTTGTCCTCTGGCCTCCACGCATACACCATGGCATGTGCCCAGCACCATCCCCCATAAAATAAATAAATAAATGCTCTTTAAAAATTAAATAACACATTTTTTGTACCTTTTTTTTTTTTAGATCTTTATCATGTAAGCCATGCACAGTTGTTTTTTACAAAGCTTGGATTCCACTGAATACCATTCATGAAGAGACAACATTGTAGAAATGAAGGACGGGTTAGACCCAGTGGCACAGGCCTATAATCACAACACTTGGGGGATGGAAGCAGGAGGATCGGGCCAAGGTCAAACGAGGCTACATGAGATCTTGTGTCAAAAAAAAAAAAAAAGAAAGAAAGAAAGAAATAGAAGGCGTTGGATGGTTCCTGGTTGCCTAGAGTCTGGGGTTACACAGCCCAGTGGTAGTTTACTTGAGTGGCATTTGTGAGCCCTGGATTCCATTCCCAGTGCCATTTAAAAAAAAAAAGAATAAGAATAAGAATAATGAATAACACGAAATTCTCTTGTTCTCTGGTTACCCTGCCCCCAGAGGTCATCATGTTACATGTGCATCTGCCCAGGCAAGCCAGTGGACAGTACAGCAAAGGTCTCTCTTAGAAACGAAAGCCAAGTAATATCTTAATGTGATGTTTCTCTTCAAAGGAATTTATGCCTATAATTGCTGTTGTTTGTTTTTGCTCTTTTTTGGGGGGCGGGAGCTCACCACCCAACGCCCAAATAAATCACATGACGGAGGCTTATTCTTAATTATAAATGTCAGCCTTAGCTTGACTTGTTTCTTGTCAATCTTCCTTAACTTAAATTATCCCGTCTACCTTTTGCCTCTCGGCTTTTCCCGTTCTCTTACTTCTGTCAATCTTACCCTTACTCCTTGGCTGGCTGTGTAGCTGGGTGGCTGGCCCCTGCAGTCCGCCTCCTTCTCTGGATACTTCTTTTTGCATCCCAAATTTCTCCTTCTGTATATCCTCTCTGCCTGCCAGCCCCGCCTATCCCTTCTCCTGCCTCGCTATTGGCCATTCAGTTCTTTATTAGACCACCAGGTGTTTTGGACAGGCACAGTAACACAGCTTCACAGAGTTAAACAAACAAAAGCCACACGCTTCGGAATGATAGTCTACAACATATAATCCCAGGATTCAGGAAGAGACAGGAGGAGGAGGAGGAGGAAAAGGGAAAAGAGAAGGAGGAAGAAACAAGGAGGAGGCGGGCTGGAAAAGGAGCTGCTGGGCCAGTGGTGGTATGTCCTCTACACTGCCTGACTCTTTTGGGTTGAGGTGTCCACCGTGGAGCGAGTGAAAGACTTGCTGTCCCTGGCCACAGAGTCCTCTGAGAGCACATTCCGGATGATGCTGGGGAGTGACCTGCGAAGCCGCCCTTGGAAGCTCTGGCCGGCCACTACGTAGATGATGGGGTTCACACAGCAGTTGATGTAGGCCAGAGACACACACAAGGAGTTCAGCCTCTGCACCTTCAAGAAGGTGGGCGAGGACCGGGGCAGCCAACCTATCATGGTCCCTGTGACCTGGTAGGGCAGCCAGAAGACAAAGAAACAGGTAACCACGGACACCACCACCTTGAGCGTCTTGGTGGAGCGTGTGGCCCGGCGACTCCAGGTCCTTAGCAGGAGGAAGGTGTAGCAGAGACTGAGCGTGAGCAGAGGCAACACAAAGCCCATGATCAGCCGCAGAATGGTCACAGCCCTCTCCTTGTGGATACCACCCTTCCCATAGTTAGTGCCACATACATACTTCTCTGAGAAGGGTTCTTTGTACACGTCACGGAACAGGAAGGACGGGATGGTGAGAAGCAGTGCTAAGGCCCAGGCCACTCCACAGGCCATCCACGCCAGGCTGGTCCCTCGGACCTTCTGACACCAAATGGGGTTGAATACCAGCAGGAAACGGTCGGCGCTAATGGTGGCCAGCAGCAGGATGCTGGCGTACATGTTGAGCAGGATGAGTGAGGGTAGGACTATACAGGTCTTGGGGCTGAAGGGCCAGTTGTCACTCTTTATAAGGGCCACGAACAGGACAGGCAGGGCCGCGCAGGAGAGGAGGTCGGCCACCGCCAGATTCAGAAACCAGATGGCGTTGATGGTACGTCTGACCTCGAATGCGGTCACCCACACCACCAGGGTGTTCCCGGGAACTCCCACCAGGAACACAGCCGAGTAGATGATCAGGGCTACAATATCCTCAGGATGCCACAGCTGAGCGGGACCACCATCCACAGGCAGGTCAAGGTTTATGGTCTCATCAGGGTAGTTATCATAATTGCTGTAGTCATTGGCGCTTTTGTTTGTGGGTTCCTAAGCAGAGTCAAAGAGGTAGACAGTGTGTGAGTTGGCAGTCACATCCCCAGGAGACTGGGACATTACCCCATCTTCCTGAGTCTCATGGAGATGCTGAAGGTCTACATAACCAGCCATTTGTAGTTTTTATTTTGAGACCGGGTAAATTACCCAAGCTGGTCTTGAATGCAATCTGTAGCCAAAGTGAAATCCTGCCGTTCCTCTTACCTCAGCTGCCCAAGTGATGATAGTACAAGCAAGGCCCACCCGCCATACCTGAACTTCAGTGCAGTATTGGGGGGTGGATGGAGTTGAGACAGGGTCTCACTCTGTAGACCAGGCTGGCCTCGAAGTCACAGAGATCTGCCTGCCTCCGCCTCCCAAGAGATAGGATTAAAGGTGGGCGCCACGATGCCTCACCAATGAGATTTTTTAAAATTTACTATTGCCTGTCTGTGTGTCCATATGCATGTCGTAGTCAGATGACAACTCTGTGGAGTCCGTTGTCTCCCTCAACCTTTATGAAGGTTCTCGGATAGAACTCAGGTCTCCAAGGTCCGGGGTGAGCATTTTCCCTGCTAAGCCATCTCACCATTGATGGGGTTTATTTTAACTCTGTGTGTGTGTGTGTGTGTGTGTGTGTGTGTGTGTGTGTGTGTGTGTGGTGTGTGTGTGTGTGTGTGTGTGTGTGTCTATGTGTATGTTAGTACAGGTGCCCTGGAAGGCCAGAAGAGAGCATTGGACCCCCATGGAGCTACAGGTGGTTGTGAACTACCCTACCTAGAAGCTAGGAACTGAACTCCAGTCCTCTGGCAACTACTCTTGACTGCTGAGACATCTCTCCAGCCCCTGGTGAAACATTTTAAAGGATCAAAATATGTGTGAGGATTGTCCTGCGTTCAAGCTCAGCACGAGTTGTGTGGCCAGACACTATCTCCCCCTCTCTCTCTCTCTCTCTCTCTCTCTCTCTCTCACACACACACACACACACACACACACACACACACACACACACAATGATTTTGTTGTTGTTGTTTCTTTATTGTTTAGTGGGGTTTTTTATTTATTATGTATACAATGTTCTGTCTGCATGTAATGCCAGAAGAGGGCATCAGATCTCATTATAGATGGTTGTGAGCCACCGTGTGGTTGCTGGGAATTGAACTCAGGACCTCTGGAAGAGCAGCCAGTGCTCTTAACCTCTGGGCCATCTCTCCAGGCCCTTGTTTAGTGTTTTGACAGACTATACCCCAGGCTGGTCTCAAAACTCACACTATGTAGCTGAAGATGACTTCAAACTATGGATTGTCCTGCCTCCACCTCCCATAAGCTGGGATTACAGGTGTGTGTCCTGAACTTGGAACAATATCCAAAGCTGAAATAAAGACAGGACAATGTCGTCTATTTCAAAACCTCTCACTATTGGAAGTGAAGCTTCATTCTGTGGTTGGCATGCCCAGTGGGGTGGGTTCCCACAGGGTGACAGTGTTCCCACAGGGTGACAATGTAACCATGATGTGTAAGGACATTGGGCAATGTGGGCCTTTGAAAACAGCGATGGGTGTCTTGTGGCTTTGTGGCTTTCCTTCTAAAACAGCGGTTCTGAACATGTGGGTCACTTCCGGGACCAAACGACCCTTACACAGGGGTTGCCTGGGACCATCAGAAGACACAGATATTTACATTACAACTCATAACAGTAGCAAAAAAATCACGGTTATGAAGTGGCAACGAAAATAATTTTATAGTTGGAGTCACCACAACATGAGGAACTGTATCAAAGGGTCACAGCATTAGGAAGGTTGAGAACCTCTGCTTTAAAAGTTCTTTTATTAAACCAGGCTTGATGGCTCATGACATTCAGGAGCTGGAGGCAGGATGGGGAGGCAGTCAATGCTAGCCTGTATGACATGAAACCCAAACTCAAATTTTTAAAAATGCTGGAGAGGAGTGAGCTTAGGAATGTGGACAGAGTGCTTTCCTAGTATTCATGAAGCCCCGGGCTCCAAACCCAGCACAACACTGGCTTTGGAGTCATCCCCTGGAGTCCAGACCCAAGCCGCCCTACATGAAACACACGTGTCCCTCTGCAAATGTCTCCTGCTCTGAGCCCTCCCTTTCATCCCTCCTTATCTCCTTGGAAGCCCAGCAGTCCACCCATTTCCCAAACCTTAAAGCTTCGGAACTCAAGAGTCGGAAGCCGAGGCAGTGTTTGGGGCCAGCAGAAGGCAGAATAAGAAATAAGAATTAGGGGGCTGGAGAGATGGCTCAGCCATTAAGAAGAGCACTTGCTACTCTTGCGAAGGACCCGAGCTGTTCAGTCCCCAGCACTGAGGTGGCAGCTCACAACTATGCAGAACTCTGGTGCCAGAGTCTGACATCTCCTGACCTGGGCAGGCTCCTATGGACACGTGATGCACACACATGCACATATACACACGTGCACACATGCACACATACACACGAAACTGATAAACACTCTTTTAAAAAATAGAAATGTGGGGCAGTGGTGGCGCACGCCTTTAATCCCAGCACTCGGGAGGCAGAGGCAGGCGGTTCTCTGTGAGTTCGAGGCCAACCTGGGCTAACGAGTGAGTTCCAGGAAAGGCACAAAGCTACACAGAGAAACCCTGTCTCGAAAAACCAAAAAAAAAAAAAAAAAAAAAAAATAGAAATGTGAAGCCAGGCAGTAGTGGTGTGCACCTTTAGTCCCAGTACTCGGGAGGCAGATCTCTGTGAGTTCGAGGCCAGCCTGGTCTACAGATCAAGTTCCAGAACAGCCAGGGCTACACAAAGAAACTGTTGTCTTGAAAAGCAAAAATAAAAACAAGAATAGGAGTAAATTTTGAGCCAGATGTAGTGAGATGTGCCTGTATAACCCAAGCACTGGGGAGGCTGAGGCAGAAAGATGAGGACTTCCAGACCAGCCTGGGCTACACGTTAAGTTGAAGGCCAGCCTGAGCTACATAACTAGACCCCTATCTCAGTAATAATAAATAACAACAACAACAAAAGAAAATAAGTATGAAACTTCTTGTATTAGCCTGGCAGTGGTGGTGCACACCTTTAATCCCAGTACTTGGGAGGCAGAGGCAGGCAATCTCTGAGTTCGAGGCCAGCCTGGTCTACAGCGTGAGTTCCAGGACAGCCAGGGCTACACAGAGAAACCCTCTGGGGGTGGGGGGCGGGATTCAAAGGAGAGAGTAAAAATGCTTGAAAAATAACCCTGGGCCCCAGCCACTCACCCTACTCTGATTCACCCTCAGCTCCATATCTTCCTACTCGCTACTCTGGCCATCCCCAAGGTCCCATGCTCAAGTCACTAAAGGGTTAATTCTAGGCCTAACTGGATAACCTCACACTCTGCCCCTCAGGGTATTCTCAAGTCCCCAGACAAGGATTGAATGTTTCTCCTAGAGAACCAGCTCTCACACCGTCCTTGCTTTGATGACTCAGACCTCTGCTGCGGGCCTCTCTAAACCCAATCTCTCACACTTGTCAACTGACCACCTCCCTTCCTGGCTGATCTCACCCTGTCCTCTTCCTGGCTTCATGAGGCAGAGAAAAAGACGCTGATTCTAATCTCTATGGTTTCCTGGAGCTCCCAGATACAAACATCTCAGGAAGCTTTGACCTTGACAGAGTCCCTGTAAAGGGGGAGATTGGCTGAGCATGGTGCACGCCCGTGATCCCAGCACCTGAGAGGCTGAGGCAAGAGGACCTTGAGTTTGAGGCCAGCCTGGGCTACCAAAATTCTGTCTCAAAACATAAAACAAACAAGGAAGGAAGGAAGGAAGGAAGGAAGGAAGGAAGGAAGGAAGAAGGAAGCTTTGGAACTACCCAAAGTATTCCACCAAAGGGATTGAGTAAGTTAGTGCGGGCATCAAGGCAACAAAGTATTCTTCAACTTTGTGTTAAAAGGAACGAGGAATGAGGAAGTTGTTAATAAACTGATACAGAAAGATTCTGATATTTAAGAAAAAAATTGTAAATAGGAAATAAGAGTGGGCAATGAATGAAATAAATTACCTATAAAGGAAGAATGAACTCCCTTTGTGTGTGTGTGTGTGTGTGTGTGTGTGTGTGTGTGTGTGTGTTTGTGTGTGTGTTCGTTCGTGTCTGTATACACAGACTAGGTGCCCACACTTTAAAGTAATGGTTGCCTCTGAGAAGGGACTGGGACTCGGATACTAAGAGAGCTATCCCTGCAGCCTAAGTGGTTCTTGTTGAACGTGGAACCCAGTACCTCCTGCAGAACAGTATTATACAAGACACCCTTGCCTCTCCATACACAGTGTCCATGTCTGTGGATACAACTAATCATAAGGTCAAAAATATTGGGGGGGGGGAAAGGAGAAAAAAAGAACTGAGAAGCCGGGCGGTGGTGGCGCACGCCTTTAATCCCAGCACTCGGGAGGCAGAGGCAGGCGCATCTCTGTGAGTTCGAGGCCAGCCTGGGCTACCAAATGAGTTCCAGGAGAGGCGCAAAGCTACACAGAGAAACCCTGTCTCAAAAAACAAAACAAAACAAAACAAAAGAACTGGGAAAAAAAGAAAAAGAAGAGGATGGAGAGATGGTTCAGCCGTGAAGAACACTGGCTGTTTTTGCGGAGGTCCTGATTTCATCTCCCAGCACCCACAGCAATCTCACAACTGCCTGTAGCTCCCGCTCCAGGGAGTCTAAAACTATATTTTGCCCTCGGAGAGCACCCTCACATGTGTGGCGAACAGACACACATAAATAAAAACAAATCTTATAAAAACAAATAAATAAATGATATGAAAATAGTTTCTTAAGGAATATGACAAGAAAAAAATCTATGCATAGATTTTACAGAGGTGAGAGTGGAACAGGACAGGAAGACAAAGCCATCCTTGGCTACATAGTGAGTTCCAGGTTCAGCCTGGGCTACAGGAGAACCTATTTCAAAATAACAATACTTGCCGGGCGGTGGTGGCGCATGCCTTTAATCCCAGCACTCGGGAGGCAGAGCCAGGCGGATCTCTGTGAGTTCGAGGCCAGCCTGGGCTACCAAGTGAGTTCCAGGAAAGGCTCCAAAGCTACACAGAGAAACCCTGTCTCGAAACCCCCCCCCCAAAAAAATACTTAATAATAATAATGTGGGGCTGGGGATGTAGCTTAATTGTAGTATGCTTGTCTGCAATTCTTGGGAAGATAAGAAGGCTATTTCTTTTTCAATCAGATGTCAACCAGTCTGCTCACCAGATGTTTACCTGGCTCTTGCCTCAGAAAACATCCCCTCTGCAAGGAGAGAGAAAATGACGAAGTATGGTGAGAACTGGGGGCAGGGTGAGAAGGGGGCATTTAAGAGAGCCTAGAAGCTGTCCAGGAAAACATCCAGGAGAAAAAAAATGGTCTCTCTCTCTCTCTCTCTCTCTCTCTCTCTCTCTCTCTCTCTCTCTCTCTCTCTCTCTCTCTTTCTTCTCTCTCTTTCTCTCCCTCTCTCTCTGATAGGTGTTGCCATGGAGGTGGAGATGCTCTTGTCTGTGAGATCCAAGATGGCAGCCACCAGCCACCCGAGAGTACTGAGCTTTGGAGACTGAGTTGAAATATCTGAGGAAATGATCTCTTAAATATAATCTCTAAAATTAAATTTAGAGAGAAAGCATGGGACTGACGGTTGCCGGGTGGATCGGCGCTGAGCATCTCGGGCCTGAATGTCAGCACCGGGCTGTTTGGGTGTGCGTGCTTAGTTACTGAAAGCACTCTGCGACGTGGGGACACAGGGTTATTCTTGGTCCTAAGTTTTCATGCTTTTTTTGTTTGTTTGTTTTCTTTTCTTTTTCTTTCTTTTTTTCTTTTTCCTTTTTTTTTTTTTTTAGACAAGGCTTCGTGTAGCCCAGGCGGGCCTTGAACTCCTGATTCTCCTGCCTCTCTCCCCCAAGTGCTAGGGTTACAGGTATGTGCCACTGCGACCAGCTTTCACTACGCTTTTCAGGTATTATCTCATTTAACACATATGGCAGCCCCCGGAGTGCTGCCGCTGTGGCCATTCCCAGTCCACAGATGGAAAAAGAGAGGCTTTAGATAAGCTAGGAAGCCTCCCAAGTCGGCTCTATTAGGAAGAGCAGAGATAGGGGAGGAACCCCAAGAGAATGGGGTTCTGGGTATGCTGGTACACCCCTTTAATCCAAGCATCTGGGAGCTTGAGTCCAGCCTCATCTACATAGAGAGTTCCAGGACAGCCAGGGCTATGCAGTGAGACTCTTTCTGAAAAAGGAGAGAGAGTAAGAGAAAGAAACGAACAAGAACCTAAGTCCCTGTTGAGAGAGGATGAGACTTCCCATCCGGATAGTACATGTCTGTTAAAAGGGCTGTGATACCCTTGAAATACATGGGTATTCTATATCCTCCATACTGATCATTTACTTTTGTAGTGAATTGAAAATGCTTAGCAAGATGACTGGCATGCAGTAAGCACTCAATAAATGCCTATTTCACAATATTAAAAATTACTCATTCAAAAGAGATAAGAAAAAATATGTATAGGAGCTAGGTATGGTAGAACAATGCCTGGAATTCCAGCACTGGAGAAGCTGAGGCGGGAGAATCATGTGATTAAGACTATCTTGGGCTAGTGACATCTTGTCTTAAAAGATCAAGGACTGAAATGTAACTCAGTGGTAGAGTCCCTGCCTAGAATCTTCCAGTGAGGGGCTGGGGGTGTGGCTCAGTGGTAGAGCCCCTGCCTAGAATCCCCCAGTGAGGGGCTGGGGGTGTGGCTCAGTGGTAGAGGCCCTGCCTAGAATCCCCCAGTGAGGGGCTGGGGGTGTGGCTCAGTTGTAGAGCCCCTGCCTAGAATCCCCCAGTGAGGGGCTGGGGGTGTGGCTCAGTGGTAGAGCCCCTGCCTAGAATCCTCCAGTGAGGGGCTGGGGTGTGGCTCAGTTGTAGAGCCCCTGCCTAGAATCCCCCAGTGAGGGGCTGGGGTGTGGCTCAGTGGTAGAGCCCCTGTCTAGAATCCCCCAGTGAGGGGCTGGGGTGTGGATCAGTGGTAGAGCCCCTGCCTAGAATCCCCCAGTGAGAGGCTGGGGTGTGGCTCAGTGGTAGAGCCCCTGTCTAGAATCCCCCAGTGAGGGGCTGGGGTGTGGATCAGTGGTAAGGCCCCTGCCTAGAATCCCCCAGTGAGGGGCTGAGGATGTGGCTCAGTGGTAGAGCCCCTGTCTAGAATCCCCCAGTGAGGGGCTGGGGTGTGGATCAGTAGTAGAGCCCCTGCCTAGAATCCCCCAGTGAGGGGCTGGGGTGTGGATCAGTGGTAGAGCACCTGCCTAGAATCCCCCAGTGAGGGGCTGGGGTATGGCTCAGTGGTAGAGCCCCTGTCTAGAATCCCCCAGTGAGGGGCTGGGGTGTGGATCAGTAGTAGAGCCCCTGCCTAGAATCCCCCAGTGAGGGGCTGGGGTGTGGCTCCGTGGTAGAGCCCCTGCCTAGAATGCCCCAGGGAGCTTAGCCATAGAGCACTGGTTTAGGAATCCAGAGCAACCTCCCCCCCCTCCCCAGCCCAAATCAAGGACTCTACAGGTTGAGGGTCAATAGAGTGACTTGGTGCTGGAAAACACCTTGTGCAGAAAGGAAAAAGAACAGTAGGCCCTCCCTGTTCTGGAAACCCCGATTGCTCAGGGCAGAACCAGAAAATGACATGGGACCCAGGGATGAAGAAAGCTCACAACTTGCCTGGTCATCGAGTTTTCCATTTCCTCTTTTGTGCAGATGAAGCAAGGCCGTGTCTTGTGTTACTCTCCTAGCACCATGCCACCACCTTAGGGCCCAGGCATCAAACGGGACCCGCTTAGAGGGACGTGGACTCTGGGCTCCAGGCCCCCTCTAACTTCTCTAGTAATGACCACTCAGCCAAACTGCTGTCAGGACTTGGCTTGTTTGTTTGTTTGTTTGTTTGTTTGTTTGTTTGGAGAGAGGGTCTCATTCTGTAGCCCTGGCTGTCCTGGAACTCACTCTTAGACCGACCTGGCCTCAAACTCAGAAATCCACCTGCCCCTGCCTCCCGAGAGCTGGGATAGCAGGCGTGTGCCACCACACTGGGTGGTTTGGAAGATTATATTTTTATTGTTGCTTTTCTGAGACAGGGTCTCACGTAGCCCAGGCTAACCTCAAAATGACTATGTAAGATTGAACCTCCAACTCCTATGCTTCTACCTCCCCCACACACCACCACACCCAGTCTTGCAGGATGCTGGTAACTGGACCCAGGACTTGCAGCACTCCCACACCTGAGCTGTATCACAAACCCATTTGTCCTTTAACACAATATCTCACAGTGTAGCCCAGGCTAGCCTGAAACTCACTATGTAGCCCAGGCTGGCCCGGAACTGCAGCACCCTGCCTCGGCCTCTTAAGGGCTCAGATTACAGGTGTAAGCTACCACGCCCAACATCGAGAACTCTTCATTTAAGAGAACCAGGGCCAGGGTTTTCTGTCCTGAAGAACCTTCTCAGGTCTACAGTCCTGTGAGGCTGCTGCGATTCCCATAAGTCCTCTTAGTCCTTGGACACATCCCATCCTCGGAGTATGAGCTCGGGATGCAGGTAGGAGAGGGCAGATGAAGAGAGATTGAGAAAGGAAATGGGCAGGCAGAGTCAGATAAGGAGAGTGAGGGGGGAAAGGAACCCACTCACCATGTCCTGGCTCCTCCCGGGTTCTGTAGTGACCAAGACGGATGCCTGAAGGTCCCTTCTGTCGTCTGGGCCGTGCTTTTAAAAGCCTCAAGAAGAGATGCAGGCAGCTGGGAGGAAATGACTGTCTTGCCCCTCTGGGGTGCTCATTGGTCACACTCTGGCTGTTCTAGCTGGGGCTCCCTCCACCGGTGCGCACCCAGAAAACCCTCGGCACCACCCAGTGCCACCCAAGCAGAGGAGAAAAGTCAGGCTTGGGAAAAGGAGGAAGTCTCTGGCCCCAGAAGGGAAAAAGGCAATGTTCAGAGCCTCATCCCCTTTGGGGATGCAGCTGGCCTTGGTTCCCCCATCTGAGGAGGACTCTGCTTCAACTGAAGGAAGTTTTGGGGCTCCTGGGGTTTCCAGAGAACAGGGATGGTGACTATAGCCCCAACCTCCCAGCCAGGTGGCCTTTAAAAAAAAATTATTTATTTATTTATGAGTGCTCTATCTGCCTTATGTACACCTTATGCCAGAAGAGAGCATCAGAACCCACTATGGATGTTCGTGAGCCACCACGTGGGTGCTGGGAATCGAACCCAGGTCCTCTGGAAGAGCAGCCAGTGCTCTTAACCACTGAGCCATCTCTCCAGTCCACACCAGGTGGCCTTTACAGCTAAAGTACACATGGGGCTGTAGAGAAGACCCAAGTCTTGGGGCTACCTCCCCTGGGAGGTGGGTGGGTGTGATAACACACACCTGTCATCCTAGCACTCAGGAGGCGGCTGCGGCAGGAGGATCCCCCTGGGCTGCAGAATGAGACCTCGTCTCAGATAACAAAAGCATGGTAGCTCGGTTGGTAAAATGTTTGCCCAGCATGCACAAAGCCCTGGGTTCCAGTCCCAGCACCACACAAAGTCTGATGTAGTGGTGCATCCAACCCCAGCACTCAGGGGGCTGACGGAGGAGAATGAGAAGGTCATCCTCACTGTAGAGTATAGTTCCAGTCTAGACTAGGCTATTAAAGCAGGGGTTCTCAACCTTCCTGGAATACAGCTCCTCATGTTGCGGTGACCCCCAACCATAAAATTATTCCATTGCTGCTCCATAACCGTAATTTTGCTACTGTTATGAATCATAATGTAAATGTCTGACTTGGGACCCCAAGGGGTCGTGACCCACAGGTTGAGAACCACTGCTTTACAGGCAGGGAGAGAGTTTTAGACCAGGCACCATGGCACACACCCGTAATCCTACCATTTGAACTGAAATAGGAAGATCAAAAATTCCAGGCCGTCTGGACTATATAGCAAGGACCGAGTCTCAAAAATATCAACAACAAAAACAACCGAAGGTCACATGTTAATCCTAACACTCTGTGAGTTTGAGGCCGTTAAGGGCCACAGAGTGAGAGCCTATCTGGAAAAAAAAAAAAAAAGCAAAAGAAAAGAAACATCTTACGGTCTTCCCCCGCCACACACACCTTTGGTGTTTTTCGCATACACGCATGAGGGTGCTGGATCCACTGGAACTGGAGTTACAGACGGTTGTGAGCTGCCATGTGGGTGCCGGGAAATGAACCCCAGGTCCTCTGGAAGAACAGCCAGTGCTTGTAACCACTGAGCCATCTCGCCAGCCCCATCTTACTGTCTTAACCGCATAATTAATCCTGTGATGTTTTGTTTTCTATTTGTTTGAAATCCTCCTGCCACACCCTGCCCTGTGTACCTAACACATCAGCCACGTGAGACCGCTGTGCCCTGGAACTTCCGTGAGTATGCGGGGAGATGGGCTCTAAGAGGAACACACTTCCTGGATTTCAAAGACCACACGTGGGGGAAAGGGTTTCTAGGTGTGGCCCCACATATCTATAATCTCAGCATTTGGGAGGTGGAAGCGAGAGACTCCATAGCTCAAGTTCTTCCTTAGCTATACAGTTTGAAGCTATACAGACAGTTGGAGGCAAACCCGGACGTGAGACACCATCTCAAAAAATCAAAGACAGCCAGGTGGTGGCACAGTTTTAATCCCGGCACTCGGGAGGCAGAGGCAGGCCGATCTCTGTGAGTTCAAGGCCAGCCTGGGCTACAGAGCGAGATCCAGAACAGTCAAGGCTACTCAGAGAAACCCTGTCTCAAAAAAACAAAGCCAAACATAAACAAATAAACAAACATGGTAAGTTTTCTGATTTGTTTTGTAAACTGTGCCTGTGTGTGTGTGTGTGTGTGTGTGTGTGTGTAGGTCAGAGGGCAAAGTGCGGTTCTTTCCGTCTACCGTGTGGGTCATGGGACTTGAACTCGGGTCAGCAGGCTTAGCAGCAAGCTCTTTAACCACAGAGCCCTCTCGCTGACCACTTGTTCTGAGGTCGGGCTGAGGACTTTCGATTTACAGGATGGAAACCAGAGACGCTGGAGAGACTCGTGACCCGATGGGGTGGAAACTGTGGGTTGTCTCTCCTCCATAGCCCCAGTGCCCCGGGAAGCCTGTCCCCTTCGGGAGCCCATGAGCCAAGCAGGTGACTGTGGCCCCCATTTCTCCTGTTACTGGCTACCGGAACACCATACGGCGGCGGCAATGATCATCACTGACCCCCACCTGCTCTCCTGCGGAGTGAGGCTCCAGGCTGGGGCCGTGGTAGCTTCTGAAGCAGGATGTGGTGGGCCCATCCTTACAGTGCTGAAACACAAGGGCCTTCCCACACTGGCCGGGTGAGCTTCTAGTATCTGCTCTGCCTAAGAAACAGGAGGCTGGAGAGATGACTCCGGGGTTAAAGAGCACTGCCTGCTCTTCCTGAGGTCCTGAGTTCAATTCCCAGCAGCCACCTGGTGGCTCACAACCTTCTAGATTGAGATCTGGTGCCCCCTTCTGGAATGTAGGCAGACATGCTAGAACCCTGTGTGTATAATCTTTAAAAAGAAAGAATAAATAAATCCTTAAAAAGAAAGAAACAGGAGGCTCTCTCAGCAGAGGCAGGCAGAGGTATCTCTGATTTCAGTCTGGTCTACAGAGCAAGTTCTAGGACAACCAGAACTACACAGAGAAACACACACACACACACACACACACACACACACACACACACACACACACACAGAGGAAGGAGGAAGGAGGAGGCGGTGGGAAGTGCCAGCACTAGAGAAATGACTGTTAAAGACTATCCTCTAACTTCCACTCTGCACCGTGCACCATGGCCACACAATAAATAAATAAAATGTAATTTTAATGCCAGGCAGTGATGGCACACACTTTTAATCCCAGCACTCAGGAGGCAGAGGCAGGTAGATCTCCGTGAATTTGAGGCCAGCCTGGTCTACAGAGCTAGTTCTGGAAGAGCCAGGGTTATGCAAAGAAACACTGTCTGGAAAATAGCAACAAAATGTAATTTTAAAAATTAACCAATTAAATAAATAAGTGGACTGTGTTAGTTGAGGCTTGAGGCTTATGAGATTGAAAAGTTACAATCTCAACTCTTCCAGAATCCATGTCTGAAAGTCATGGTGACCCAGGACAGCCCTGTAGAACGTTCTGGAAGGGTCTTTCTAGACCTCTTCCAGTTTCTGGTGGCCACTGACTACATCGCTCCAACTTCTGCCTCCATCCTTCACACAGGCCTCTCTTCCGAGCACCCTCCCGTCTCTTCTACAGACACTTGAAGTCCTTTTATCCAAAAAGCCCCCTTTTCCAAATAACGTTACATCCACACCTTCTACGTGGTCTTGAGCTGTTTTTTAGGGGGAGAGGGGTCAACGTTCAAGCCACTCCAGGGACCGTCCGAGCTATTCTCCAAAGTGGAAGGAGCGTTTCAAGTCATGTTCTTGTTATTGTCACCAGAAGGTTCTGGACTCTGAAGTACCTAATGAGAGCAGGGTAAATAGACTCTGGGTCATCTTAAGTCATCCAGCTCTCGCTTGCTATCCCGGGTGGTCCCACATCCTCTGCACTGGCCTCTCCCGAGTGGGAAATGAATGCAGGTGAGGGAGCTGGGGACATGGTTCAGTTGGTATAGTGCTTGCTTAGAATGCAAGAAGTCCTGGGTTTGATGCCACAGCACCACAGAAAACTGGGTGTGTGACACGTGCCAGCACGATCAGGAGCTCAAGGCCGTCAGGTCCAAGACCACCCAGGGCCACGGGATACCCTGTCTCAAAGACAGAAGAAAGAGATAAGCACTCAAGCGCCTGCACGGCAGCGCTGATTTCAGCCTGGGAAGGCTAAGAATCCAGCTCGGAGACCTGGTTAAACGTTTATGGGATGCTCGATGTGCGGCTAGCGCCCTCTTGTGGCCGCGTACTAACCACGCGCCTCTTGCGCGCTCACCCAAGTTTATGACTTGGGGCTGTGCTTTAAATATATATTTATATTTAATATATATATTAATTAATCTGTTCTTTCCCTGCACCTGTCTCTATGCACCACGTGCGGGCCTAGTACCAAAGGAGATAAGAAGACGTTGTCGAATCTCACAGAACTGGAGTTACAGACGATTGTGAGCCTCCGTATGGGAACTGGGATTTAAACCTGGATCCTCAAGGCTGTATCTCCAGCACCCTGGGTGTGTGCTTTGTGTGTGTGTGCTTGTTTTGTATCGCTGAGACTCAAACGCGAACTCATACCTTACGCATGCTAGGCAAGCGCTCTACCATTTGCCTACAGTGACGACGCCTCAGTGGTTGAGTTTGAAATCTACTGAAGCTCTGCGGTGAAGGCCGAGAGGTTGTCTTCGGAAGGAAGGAATTTATATTCTCTAATTTGTGCTTTCGGCCTCAAAAAATCTCTATATGGTTGAGGACGGCCTTGAACTTCCATCTTTCTGCCTCCACCTCCGTTTACAGAAGACTGTTACAGTATCAGGTTTATGAGGTGCCTACCAGACTTGGAGCTCTGGGCTTCCTGTATGCCAAGCAACTGGTCTACACCCCAAGCCCCTAGTCTCTCACCCTAGCTAGAGCTGTTGGACATGCACCCGAGAAGATAAGGAGATCTGGGGTTGTGTGGAACCAAATGTTAAAAACCAATATATACGGGCCAGGCAGTGGTGGCACACGCCTTTAATCCCAGCACTTGGGAGGCAGAGGCAGGTGGATCTTTGTGAGTTCAAGGCCAGTCTGGTCTACAGAGTGAGATCCAGGAAAGGCACAAAGCTACACAGAGAAACCCTGTCTCGAAAAGCCAAAAAAAACCAATATATACAAAATCTACAGGAGAGTGGCAGTTTTGCTTGAATTTCCCTAAAAGCAGTCAGTCTCTTGAGATAAT